TGGTCCATTCATTTATTCGTATCAGGCTTTTGTCCACGATCCCAATTAGCAAATTCATAAGGCTTATAAGGGAATAACAAGTCGACATTCACAAGCTTTTAAATATTGATATTACTCACAGTGATCGGCTTGTGGATTTGCCCTGGAGCTTGACCCTACACATTTAATGAACACAAAAAGGGTCACTAACAGTTCAACCCGTTCTTTGCTTCACACGTTCCTCACTAGGCTTTATTCATATCTCATTAATTCATTTTCAATGCTTAACATATGCCTAAGAGTGCTTACAAGTGAAAGAGAACGGAAAACAGAACTCAGAATGCAAAAACAGAATTTCAGAAAACAGGGTCCCCGCTCGAGCGTGGAATTCCCCGCTCGAGCGGACCCCTGGGGCCTGCAAAAGTACTGGATATAGGAAATTTAAGCTCGAGCTTTAAATCTGGTGCTCGAGCGGAAGGCCCCTTTACATGGCTCCCCGCTCGAGCGCGAACTTACCTGCTCGAGCGGAAGCCATGCCTGCAAAAAGTTCTGGATGTCTCATTTTTACGCTCGAGCGTGACCTCGGACGCTCGAGCGGAAGTCCATCCTACGTAGCTCCCCGCTCGAGCGTGGACTTCTCCGCTCGAGCGGACATCAAGGGCTGCAGAAAATACTGGGAGCACGTATTTCCCGCTCGAGCGGCCGTTACCCCGCTCGAGCGGATATCAAAATCTGGAAATTCCAGATTGAGATCTTGAGCTCCAATTCGAAATCTCAGCCTCAATACTAGCATGCAATGGCTCAAATATCAAATATAATCATACTAACGTGGTACCAATGCAAGATTATAACATTATGGAGTTCAATTTCTTGATTTATCTGCATGCATGTCTCACAACATGTCAAACTCAACATCAACATAACAAACTCATGCATTCAAGCTCATGTCTTCTCAAAATGTACATGCATGTAATGAATTAGCCACATCCTCAACTTAGATGGCACAAATGATGATTATAACATGAGCTTCAATTAAAATTGTACATGGATTATACAAAACATGCAAATTCAAGGTACTTTCTTACATGCATGCACATAATGGCCTTCAATTCAACCAAACCACTTCAATTTCCTCATAATCAAACTAAATCATGTTCTTGACCATTATTTCAACTTGAATTCACAAAATTACAACTTAATATTCATGAATTCACTTACCTAGAGGCTTGATTCTCCCAATCTATGGTCAAAACTTGAATAATTTTCAAGGCTCCCAAGCTTTGAGCTAAGTTTGCTCAATTCTCTTCTCTCCTCCTCTCTACAGCCGGCTTTCTCTTCCTCTCAATAGTCTAACTCAAATTTTTGAGTTCATAAGGGCTAGAGAAGAGTGTAATGTTATCATATAACAAGGCCCACTAACCTAATATTTCAATATAAAATATTTGGGCACTAATTCATCGATTAAATCGACTTAATCTGGCCCGAATCAACTTTTTTTTTTTCAATTAAATTTTACCGTAGACTCTAAAAATTACGCTAATCACAAAGGCGTAATCAATTTCGGGTTTTGTAGTCGACAAGGCCCCCAATTTAATTTCCAAAACAGATTATTCAGACAGGTATTCCTACGGTGAACAGATAAGACTTCAAAATCACAAACATTCACATAATGGCACATAAAATCATGCTAAACACATAATCATACTCAAATTAAGGACCAATTGGCATATTACGGAACAGGGGTATCACATTAACGCATGAAAATCTGAGTTTTTTTGAGACGGCACTGTTTCGCCGTCGCTAAAAGGGTTATTTGCGACGGTAAAAATACCGTCGCTAAAGGGTTATTTGAGACAACACCTGATGCCGTCGCTAAAGTACTATTGGCGACGAAAAAAAACACCGTTGCTAAAGGTCTTCATTTTCAACCAATTCCCCTATCTTTTGCAATAGCATTACTGCCGTCGCAAAAAACCCTGGTTCTATTTCCTTTTTGAGACGGTGTGTGTGGTGCCGTCTCAAAAAAAAAAAAACTGTAATAAAATTATTAAAAATATTAAAATAACCTGTATTAAATGAAAAATAACTATAAAAAAATCAATAATTACATAATAATATAAAAAGTCCAGTATATAAATAAAAATTCATCCATAATTAAAATATTTTTCCATTCATAACAACACATTAGCAAAATTATCCCATTATATAATGTTGCATAATACATACATAATGTTGTTCACAAATCTAAATAACGTAAATAAAAAACAAAAGTTTTCGTCATGATTCTTCCGTGGGTTACAAAAATAAAAGTTGGTCATAATCTCTACACGCCTGCATTCCACAAGAAGCAAACTGCTACTTAGGAAATATCTGAAAATAACAAAATAAAAATAATTAATAACAATATAATTATGTTAATATTTTAATTATAGAAAAACATAAAAAATTAACTACTATATAATTACAAAAATAGTTTAGTAAATAATTTTGGCTAAACAGAAATCCGGCCCTAACTCCCAAATCGGAAACCCGATTGGAGTTCCGTCTTCTCCCACAAGTTTATCGTGCCTAGGCGGTCGTGTGTGCCAAGTTTCATGCTAAACCGACGTCGTTTGGTGATTTTGGGGGATCAATACCTCGAATTCAAGTTTCTTAAGAAATTAGTTTGCCTAGACCGAAATCTGACTCTAACTCCCAAACCGGGAACCCGATTGGAGTCCCGTCTTCTTCCACAAGTCTCTCGTGCCTAGGTGGTCGTGTGTACCAAGTTTCATGCTAAATCGACACCGTTTGGTGATTTTGGGGCGTCAACTCCCCGAATTCAAGTTTCTTAAGGAATTAGTTTGCCTAGACCGAAATCCGACTCTAACTCCCAAACCGGGAACCCAATTCGATCCCGTCTTCTCTCACAAGTCTCTCGTGCCTAGGCGGTCGTGCATGCCAAGTTTCGTGTTAAACCGACGTCGTTTGGTGATTTTGGGGCGTTAACACCTCAAATTCAAGTTTCTTAAGGAACTAGTTTGCCTAAAGTAAAATCTGGCTCTAACTCCCAATCTGGGAACCCGATTCGAGTCCCATCTTCTCCCACAACTCTCTTGCGACTAGGCTGTCGTGTGTGCCAAGTTTTGTGCTAAACCGACGCCGTTTGGTGATTTTGGGGCGTCAACACCTCGAATTCAAGTTTCTTAAGGAACTAGTTTGTTTAGACCGAAATCCGGCTCTAACTCCCAAATCGGGAACCCAATTGGAGTCTCGTCTTCTCCCACAAGTCTCTCATGCCTAGGCGGTCGTGTGTGTCAAGTTTCATGCTAAACCGACGCCGTTTGGTGATTTTGGGGCGTCAACACCTCGAATTCAAGTTTCTTAAGGAACTAGTTTGCCTAGACCGAAATCCAGCTATAACTCCTAAACCGGGAATCCGATTAAAGTCCCGTCTTCTCCTACAAGTCTCTCGTACCTAGGCAGTTGTGTGTGCCAAGTTTCGTGTTAAACCGATGCCGTTTGGTGATTTTGGGAGGTCAACACCTCGAATTCAAGTTTCGTAAGGAACTAGTTTTCCTAGACCGAAATTCGGCTCTAACTCCCAAACCGGGAACCCAATTGGAGTTCCGTCTTCTCCCACAAGTCTCTCGTGCCTAGGCGGTCATGTGTGCCAAGTTTTGTACTAAACCGGCGCCGTTTGGTGACTTTTGAGGGTTAACACCTCGAATTCAAGTTTCTTAAAGAACTAGTTTGCCTAAACCGAAATATGGCTCTAACTCCCAAACCGGGAACCCGATTCGAGCCCCGTCTTCTCCCACAAGTCTCTCGTGCCTCGGTGGTCGTGTGTGCCAAGTTTCGTGCCAATCTGATGCCGTTTGGTGATTTTGGGGCGTCAACACCTCGAATTCAAGTTTCTTAAGGAACTAGTTTGCCTAGACTGAAATACGGCTCTAACTCCCAAACCGGGAACCCGATTGGAGTCTAGTCTTCTCCCACAAGTCTTTCGTGCTTAGGCGGTCGTGTGTGCCAAGTTTCGTGCCAATCCGACGCCGTTTGGTAATTTTGAGGCGTCAACACCTCGAATTCAAGTTTCTTAAGGAATTAGTTTGCCGAAAGTGAAATCCGGCTCTAACTCCCAATCCGGGAACCCGATTTGAGTCCCGTCTTCTCCCACAAGTCTCTTAGCTTAAAATGAAAGAATGCAAAGATACATTTTAGCTTAGAATGTAAAGATACATTTTATACCTGATCTTCTGGTGGTGGTGTGTTTGTTTGGTATTAATTCAAACAAAAAAATGTTTGAATTAATACCCTTTCTTGCTAATGCCAACAGAAAAACTAATGCCAAATTTTTTTTAAATCGCAAAGATAAAACATGTTTTTTAAATAAATAAATCCCCTCAATATAAAACTTTTTTTAAATCGCAAAGATAAACATGTTTTTTTATAAATAAATAAAAAATAATAAATCACGTGCTCACTACAACTGCTTAAGTTATGTTATTCATTGCATAGACTACTCCATGTTTCAGACTACTATATCTACAAACCATATATAGCCTTCATCATCATGAAATATATCGCAAAGATAAAACATGTTTTTTAAATAAATAAATCCCCTCAATATAAAATTTTTTTTTAAATCGCAAAGATAAACATGTTTTTTTATAAATAAATAAAAAATAATAAATCACGTGCTCACTACAACTACTTAAGTTATGTTATTCATTGCATAGACTACTCCATGTTTCAGACTACTATATCTACAAACCATATATAGCCTTCATCATCATGAAATATAATCAACAAAAATGTAAATTGGTTTAACCATGACGTCATATTACCACCATGTCCTATCGTTGGTCAAATAATTGAGATTAAAGTTTGGTAAGTTGAGTGGAGTTATCTGGCCAATGCATATCAAGTTCACTACTGTCAAATGACAGCAATTATTTGTTAAAAACCATTTCTACTTTCAATAATGTCAAATGACAACAATTATTTGTTATATTTCAAAATCTTATTTCCAATATGTTTTGTTAGATAGCCTACATTTATTAATTTTTTATTACTTCACCCTAGTACCACCTTTCAAATAAGCACCAGTACAACTATTTGGCCGGGTCCCATATTCCCATGTGTACCAAAAGTTGATGGTCAGACAATCCAAACACCAACACAAACACTCCCATGTGTACCAAAAGTTTGGTTAACATAGTAAATTCATATTCACAGGAAAAATACTAACTTCAAGGTGTGAAAAATCCCAGCTTGCCTCTTACCATCTCATCCAAAGTTATCGATGCATTATATTTACGGAAAACCTTTGTTGTGAGACCAGTCATGAGTTCCTTCAGATGAGCATTCAGTTTATTGGTATCCAGCTTGTCAAAAAGATCATCGCCGCCATTTTTTCCTGTAGAAAAATAAGGTCATGTGAGCATGTCTTTATCATGAAATGCAGAAAGAGATATTTTGATACAAAAGGCCACGCATCCACTAACCAGTTCGGAACTGCTGAATTGCCTTGAACACAGGAAGTTCAACTTCAACCTCATTTTGGTATCTAATTGAATCTTTAACAAGGAAGTCAAACTAGAAAACCAGAAAAGATATTGATTTGTTATTAATTGCAGTTGACAAAAAACCTTTGTATTGTTACATGTTTTTAATAGGTTCAAAATATTCCAGAAACTGATTCCAGTTTCACATCATGCAGTCCCCTTTTTAGTCATTTAAAACTTCAAAATCTCAATATAATAACCCACCAAACTCACAAACATTATTATAATGGCATTTATGTTTGTGAGTTTTGTTATGTTTCTATTTACTTTCTGAGCAAGATCGTAGAGGACTCATCATATATACATAATACATGTGTTTATACATTAATGCATGCATCTATATAAAGTAAATAAAACACTATTAGCATCTGTAAGATGATCTGCATCACTATGTTTCCTTTATAGAGAAGGTTGTCCACCCCATCTAACAGAGTCTTAACCAATTACCTATTGTCAGATTCTCAACTATGCTTCTACATTGGGAGGAAAAAGAAAGAGGATGTTCCATGAACAAGAGAGTAAAAGATAAACATAAACATGATGAAAACAATTACATACACCGTACCTTCTCATTGGCTGCCCTGAGATCTAGTTTATCAATAAGATAGGTGGCAACTGCTATTTGCCGCCTTCTGATATCCTTACTGGCAAAATCTTTAGTATAAGCTGCTCTGATGCCTTGTATGTAGTCCTATAATCAAACAACAAATTATAGTTATAGCTAAGGGACAGGAAGTTACTACTACATTGTCTAACACAAATAGAAATGGCATTCATCAGATGTGTAGGTAAAATTTTATGTAAAGTACCTTCAACATCCTTGATTTCTCATATAAACTATATGAAATTGGATGCCTCTATTTGTCCTAACAATCCATAGCTGAAAACACAAAGCAGAATTTGCTAATTGTCTAATAGAAAAACACAAAGGTAGGCACTGGTGTTGGAGCCTAAAACACTGTTTGAAATACTCATCCTGAGCTAAGATAGTTACTTTGTAATGCCCACTGATTCTCCACGTGAGTTAATTTTCCAAATAGTCAAGTAATCAAGTAATTAAGTCTATCAGAGCCCGGACAAAAAGTCAAGTAATTAAGTCTATCAGAGTCCGGACAGAAAAAAAAAAGTGGGATAAGGTTTAGAAGGAACCATTTTTACCTGAGGCTCACCTGGACATTCCAATGTAAGCATATCACGAAAAAGGAATCTTTTGTTATCCCTTTGTACAACTAAGTTGCAACCTTGTCACATCAACAACTTCAGATATTAGAATCACAGAAATATATTTCCATATATTAACTGAAATATATCATTAATTTCACAAACTTACTATGAAAATTTGAAGACCACAACATTAATCAAAGATGAGGTGACTGTAGGACATCAATGTATATTAATTGCAGTGGAGGACACTCAAGGTTATCAAAATAATCCACAACATATTTCCAACGTTTATTGTTTTTGAGATCTTAATTGAAACATTTATTATTTAATAGGAATGCTGGCAATTTTTTCTTGGCGTCACACACTCAAGCGCACACAACTTAATGCATTATAATTGAACAACTTTGATATAAAATGAAAATAAGTTTCATATCAACAGAAGCTACAGATACACCAAAAGTTTTACTCAGCTAGTCAGCTACACTAGAGATTAGCAATTACAAAAGTGGAAAGATCAGTACCAAAGTGAAAAATGCTAAAAAGATTAAATATCTACATGTTGCCAAGTTTTTAGGTTTCACTCTGATAGTGCTAGTCGAAGTGTAGATGAACCATTTTACCATATAGAAGATGGGGAGCAGCATTATCCTATTCAACTATAAGATTATAAGAATCCCACAAGATATGCCAATACGATTAAAAGCCCAAGTCAGCTTAATCCTGGATGTAACAGTTTGAAACAAGTGCAGGGGCAGAGTTATCCATATAAACTATAAACATATACACAAATATTTGCAATCAGTGAAGCATCTGTCCATAAGTTTCCTTTATTGCGAAACATATAATAGAGTGCCTAATGGAATTTCGACATCACTAATCTCACAGAATTAAGATCGTTGATCATTTTGCTTGTATACATATGATCCATTGACCACCAAAGTACCATTAAAATAACAAAATATATTATCTAAAATCAATTGTCCTCTCCATTTTTCTAATGGCATATCTCTTACTTTCCAGTCTCTAAATCCAACAGTTCACCAACATTAGTGTGAGATAATCATACAAATCCTAACCCAAATATTCCCTAGCTCATCCTTGCCTCAAAAAGTCTCCAGATGAGGCATTATTGAAAAAAAAAAATTCCCAACAACCAACTTCAACATCATCAACTCCAATAAGAACCCCACACGACTAACCATAGTGACCAAAAAAAGAGCAGACATCAAAATCAGATATTACTTATATAGAAAAAAAATGAAGTAATCAGATATTACAGTTTTGAATCATAGCAATGAGAGAAACGCACCTGATCACTATACAAGATGAGTGACCAAAATAAATTACTGTAGGCTTCCAAAAGAGAGAGAGAGAGAGAGAGAGAGAGAGAGAGCATACGTACTGACTGAGCTCAGAGAGAGAGATCGTAACATGCCGTCGTCGCACCACCGCTAGCGGTCGTCGCTTATCGAGAGAGATATCGTCGGTGAACACTCACCGTCGTCGCTGTGATCGTCGATGAACTTGAACACCGCTAGCTATCACTGTCGTCACTCGTCGAGAGACGGAGAGAGATCGTTGTCGAACTCGTCTCTGGGGATTTAGGGATTTTGGGGATTTAGGGATTTAGGGATTTGGGGGGTTTTGAGGGAGAATGGTGTTAGGGATTTGGGGGGTTTTGAGGGAGAATGGTGTTAGGGATTTGGGGAGTTTTGAGGGAGAAAGGTGTTAGGGATTTTTGGGACTTTAGGGAATTTGATCGAGCGCCATTTCGGCTGAAGGAGGGAGATGAAATTTCTGACTATTTGCGATGGCATGGCAAAACCGTCACAAATGATCAAATCCATTTATAAAATGACACCGTTTTATTAAGGGTTTTTTTTTTACGACAGAGCATTCCCGTCACAAATGTCCACTATTTGAGATGATAAATTTCACCTGTCTCAAAAAAATATTTTTTGTGACGGTACACAGTGCCGTCACTAATACTTCCGTATCTAAGTGACTTTTTGTTATGTGCTTATTAGCGATGGGGAAACTGCCGTCACAGAAAACAGTATTTGAAACGGCTTCATATGCCGTCACAAAAGACCACTTTTTGCGACAATATACACGCCGTCGCAAAAAGTTCCATTATAGCGATCCCGGGTTTACCCTTGTTATACAGTGATCCGGACATGTGTCCGTGGATGTTGGTAGTTGATTATTATCGTGTTTACATTCCTTTTTCTTCATATTTGAGTTATAGGATGTGTTAGGCAGGTTTGTTACAGGGTGGTTGTGTTTGGGAGCCTAGTGTTGCTGCCTAGATTTTTAATGTTATTATTTTGAGGGCGTTACATCCATGTTATTTGCCCACTTTTCTTGTAGTGGTTGTAGGATATTATTAGAGAAATTTTTTTTTGTGTTTGGAAAGATAGTTGGGTTTTTTTTTAGTTGGATGTGATATTTGTGAGAGAAAAAATGAAATGATTATGGGGTTTGATGTGATATTTTGTTTAGATTTATTTTTTTTATTTTGTAACCAATTTGTCTTTTAATGAAAAAAATCAAAAAAAACAAAAAAAACAAAAAATGAAGTTTCCAAACACCACTATGTAAATATACAAATAAATCATCTAAAATGACACCACTCATGAAAATTGAGTGAACAACATCTAATCGTACTTTTGGGATTTTATGAGATTGCACCATTTCACTCTCTGTTTTTTTTAACCCGTCATATTGCATTTCTTTGTAGAACCCAAAATAAAAATCATGCCAAAATCATGCCAAAAAAAAAAAAAAAAATGAGGCCACTCAACTCTCGGAAGACATATCCAAGAGTAGGGATTAATAATTCTAAAATTAGAATTTTAATTTGAACTTTAGTGATGTGACATAGAAAAAAAAACAAAACAAAACAAAATAAATATAAATATAAGCATCACATCACATAGTGAGTCTCCTAGAGTTTCAAAATTAGAGTTCTCAATTATTTTTGTATATCCACACATGCTTGGACCTTTGGATAATGTAAATAAACTATCATGTTTGGCAAGTTGATTTTTGGTTGGTTTTTTTAGCTAAAATTTATAAAAAGATAAAATAGGCTAAAATAGTCAATAAGACAAAATGTCACATCAAATCCATAATCATTTTACTTTTTTTCTCATAAACATTACATCTAATTACAAAAAAAAAAAAAAAATCCAACCATCTTCTTAAATATAAAAATTCTAGCCTATTAAAATAGCTAAAACTTCAAAATATTTATGATTATAACGGATTTTGATTTTGGTTTTAACTTGAATTGGATACTTTGATGGCTATACTAGAAATGTATCAACGTGCTCTATCTTCATTTATTTATTTTTCTAAATTAATGATTGAAGACTGAAGAGTGATCTTTTAAACATAAACTTGACACGCAGACCTGGCCATAGAGTTAAATAAAGATGTTCACTTGACAGTGAGGAAATCTACAGGAGGTCCGCATTTGAATATGAGAAATATGGGATTAGTTGTGCTACACAAATGTAAATTATAGTATTTCTAGTGCATATATATAGGGATGGCAATCTGAACCCGACTCGACGGGGACCCACCCCCCGACCCCGAATTGAGCGGTTATTCCCCAAAAAATACCCCCGACAGACCGGGGATGGTATTAAAAAATTAATCCCCGATGATATTCGGTCCGGGAATAGGGACACATGTCCAAGCCCCGGATCCAGCCCCGCCCGGTTAGCCACGATGTAAAATTACCATTATGTCCCTGGGTATATATATGTGTGTGTTTGTTTAGGGTTTGACAAATTTACACACTCCCATCAGTCTCTCACTCACTCACACACACAACAACGGCGTTGCTCATCTTGTCTCTTGCTCGCCGCTGCTCCTTTTCTCTCTCGTTCCCTGCTGCTCTCTTTAGGGTTTGGTCTCCCCCACTCTCTTTCTCTCACGGCCGATCATCCCTCACCGCCGCTGCTGTTTAGGTTTCGCCTCCCTCTCTCTCTCTCACACACGACGGGACTGCTGCTCTCTCTGCTTCCTCATCGACGATCCTCCTTCACCGCCAATCCTCCCTCACCTCGCCGCCAATTTTGAAAGGCTCTCTCTCTAGGGATTTTGATCTAGGGTTTACATACATACATACATGCATATATATATATATGAGTGTATATATATATTGATCTAAGGATTACACATTCACTGTTTCGATTCGACCTCTGTTTTTTTTTTTCACTCTAAATTTATTTATCATATATATATATATATATATGTCAAAACAGTGGGATGAACATATATCTATTAAGATCTGTGATCTGTTTATTATTGATCTGTGATCTGTGAACATCTATCTGTGATCTGTGAACATCTATATATGAAGATGGATTGATTGTAATTTTTTTGTTTATAGATTTTTTAATTTGAAAATATGTTGACAGATAAAAAGAAAAAAAACACAAATCTGACTAGCTACTGTAAGTCGGGGAATTTGCAGTGTCGAGATACCCAATCCCCGATCGAGGCCAGCGGATGGGGGGTCAATGGGCTCCCCGTCAGGATCGGGAGCGGGAACAGAGAATTTCTCACTATCGGGGATTGGGGACGGGGAGTATAGTCCCCGGCCCCAGCTCGCCCCGTTGCCATTCCTATATGTATAGTGGTGAAAATCCATTGGAAAATGAGATTGTAAACTTAGAGACCAGGGAAAGCTTTGAGTAACTCACTTAGAGACCAATTAAAATTTGTTATTGAAAATTGAAACAAGTAGTTTAGGAAAAGCTACTGAAGATTAAAGTTGGTTTTGTTGATTGTTGTTTATGTTGGTTGTTGATTTACTTGATAAATTGCTAATGAAACTTCTTTTTTTTTTTTGCATAAATTTATGTTTGGACTTTCTAAATTATAAATGGTGAACTTCAAAATACTTATAATTATAACGGATTTTGATTTTGGTTTTAATTTCATCTCTATAAAATTGAAGTTAGTTGGGAAAGAGAAGAATTCAAATTTGGACAATTGTTGTACTCTGATTTTAATACTTTTCATTTTGCTAGGGATGATTTCAATTTTATCATTTTAATGTGATTGTTAAAATACATCATTGATGAGTCTCAAATTATATAACTAAACATTTTCAGGTTGAAGACAGTTATGGACAATATCACTATTGTCAGTCAAGTTTTTTTTGTTTTTGTTTTTTTTTTTCCCTCCATATAAATTTAAGCACCTCTCTTATAATGTAAGGCCTATTTATTTATTTATTTTAAACTTATCATATCTAATTTTTTTCTAATAAATATTTTTTTCCTCATACTTTATAGGTGGATAGAGACTTACATCGAACCGTAATATCAAGAAAAAAATGATTTTTTTTTCTTATTTATGTATATAAAGTTTTTGTATATAGATTCAATTTCTTCAAGAAAGAAATGTTAATATTGTTGTTCGCAATGAGCATGACCTTAATATTATTCGCATTCATGGGTCTGCTTTTAAGACAAAATGGTTGGGATTACAATTATATTAAACTGATAATTCATAATTGACAATTTATTAAATAGTGTTGGGATTACAATTATATTATAATCCCAACATTATTTACAAGGCACAGACATACACTAATAGTCAATAAGATAAAACGTCACATCAAATCCATAATCATTTTATTTTTTCTCTCATAAACATTACATCTAATTACAAAAAAAATCCAATCATCTTTTTAGGCTTCGTTTGGGAAGTAGGTTGGCTTTTTGACTTTTTTGGCTATGTTAGCCAGGCCTAAAAAGCTTGGTTTGGAAAGGGCTTTTTGGCTTTTTTGATTTTTTTTGTGAGAGAAGAGTGTAATGATTATGGGTTAAATGTAATGTTTTGTTTGTTGTGACTAAAATGGCCTATTTTTGTCTTTTGTGGCTAAAATAGCCAAAAAAAACCTACAAAACTACTTCACAAACGGTGCCTAAAATATAAAAATTTTAGCTTACTAAAATAATCAAAACTAAAATAACTTACTAAAATAGTCGACTTTTTAAACGAGACCATGTGTTCATCTATTTATCTATATATATAAATTTATATGCAGACAAAATACGAATAATAATTATTTTTTGTCAATGGAATGGGTATTTACTTTAAACTCCGCTGGGGTTGTTAACAACTCTACTAGTTCCAAGCCCAGATTAAGTAGGAGTGTTGTGTTAGGTAGCCGACAACCAACACGTAAAAAAGTCTCTCGGATCCCTTATGACAATGAATCCTACTTTGAATTGTTTAAATGCTAGGTTGTTCCCCTTAAGTGACACGTTGAGCCTACATCTGGGTGTTTCGAAAAATGAGCAAGGGGCGCCGTATCTACGTCTGGGTACGGTGAAAAATGGGCAAAGGTTCCAGCGTTTTTCTGGATGAGCGCAGGGAAAGAAGCTAGTCCAAGAAACTAAGTAGACGGGTGAGAAAGCTAGGGAAATTAAGGATTCTGGTTTTAAACTGTATTATAGTGGTAAGGATAGATGCAGGAATGTGATAGGAATCATAGTAGCCAAGGGTCTTGTGAAGAATGTATTGGCGGTCATTGGGAAAGGGGATAGGATTATGTTAGTTAAACTAATTATTAGAGGGAATATAGTGAATGTTATTATTGCATACACCCCTCAAGTAGGATTAGATGATCAGATTAAGAGGGATTTTTGGGAGCAAATGGATGAGATCTTACAAGAGATACCTGTAGGAGAGAACT